CAGGCGTCTATCTGGCCACCGTTCTTGATATCTTCTTTTTTCTTTGTAAAAGCAACGTGGATCAGTAATTGTGTGCAAGACCTATTATGGAGCAGATATTCTGCAGTAATGTATCACTTTATACAGAAAATGTTTCATTATCTTTTTCTCTCTGCCTGTGTTTCTCACAGAAAGAACGCAGACGTAATATTTATGAGTCAGAATCATACACTTCCTAAAGTTCATACAAGGAGACAAAGTATTAAATAGAACTGTCAGGTTAGCAATGAAATTAGATAACTGTTGCTTTAGGGCATTTTAAAGAGGCATGCTGTGCTTACTAAATATGAGTAGTTCTGCTTTTATCCATTAAATGCTCCTCAAGAGTTGCAATTGAGGGCCAGTTCCTATTTTTAGCAAAGCTTTGGGCAAAACTAATTTGGAAGAAATGGAAATAATTGAAGCTTGGCTACAAGGTCTTCAAATTTACTTCAGGTAGCATGGGGGGAAGTACTTATTAGTTTGGGCTGCATGTGTGAGCAGAACTACACTACAGTTGACATGGCAGATTCATGCGAGGTTCCCCCAGGGCAGCCATAAATCAAGAGATTACACGAATTCCTGGAGGATAGGTTGGTCAGTGGCTATTTGTCATGTTAACTAGAAAGAACTTCCATGTTCAGATTCAATGTCCCTCTGAATATTCAGCACTGGAAAGAACAACAACATTTAATTCAACTTGTTGAATTATGTCCAAATGTCACTATGGAGTGCGTTTCCATTTTGACACCACCCATCATTGGTCATTACTGTCAGAGACACAAATTGTAGCATCATCAGCACATTACATAAGCTCTTAGATGTTGCAATGTTCAGCAGAATTCTTATACAGTGGTGCCCCGCAAGACGAATGCCTCGCAAGACGAAAAACCCGCTAGACGAAAGGGTTTTCCGTTTTTTGATGCGCTTCACAAGACGATTTTCCCTATGGGCTTGCTTCGCAAGACGGAAACGTCTTGTGAGTCTAGCGATTTTTTCCGCTCCCCCCTTTTTCTAAGCCGCTAAGCTGCTAATAGCCTTTTAGCCGCTAAGCCGCTAAGCCTTTAATAGCCGCTAAGCCGCTAAACTGCTAATAGCGCTAAGCCGCTAATAGGGTTGCTTCGCAAGATGAAAAAACCGCTAGACGAAGAGACTCGCGGAACGGATTATTTTCGTCTTGCGAGGCACCACTGTACAGTGGTACCTCAGGTTAAGAACTTAATTTGTTCTGGAGGTCCGCTCTTAACCTGAAACTGTTCTTAGCCTGAAGCACCACTTTAGCTAATGGGGCCGCCGGAGCACGATTTCTGTTCTCATCCTGAAGCAAAGTTCTTAACCCGAGGTAATATTTCTGGGTTAGCGGAGTCTGTAACCTGAAGCGTATGTAACCTGAAGCGTATGCAACCCAAGGTACCACTGTATTTAGAAAGGACTACTAAACTTGGCTACTAACCATATTCTACCTCCAGTGTAGTTGGCGCCCAGGTCCTCCTTGCAAGCTTCCTGCAAGCATCTGGTTGGCCATGGTGAGGGGAGAGACTCCATCAGGCAAGGCCTTCTTCCACCTGCCTTGCCCCACTCTCCAGTCTCTGCTTCTCAATTTATATTGTATTATTTTATGTACTGTGGCTTGCCATTGTTTGATTGATTGTACAGTGGTGCCTCGCAAGACGAAATTAATTCGTTCCGCAAGTTTTTTCTTCTTGCGAGTTTTTCGTCTTGCGATGCACGGTTTCCCATAGGAATGCATTGAAAATCAATTAATGCGTTCCTAGGGAAACCGACTTCAGACCAGGTCCGGGGACAGTCTGTCCCCCGACCTCTTCTGAAGGCTGGGGGGGACGGACAAGGGCTTTTCTTCCCACCCCCAGCATTTTAAAAAACCCCAGGACAGCGGAGGACTTCTCCGCTGTCCGTGGCGATCTTAAAATGCTGGCGGGCGGCATTTTAAAAAACCCCGGGACAGCGGAGGACTTCTCCGCTGTCCGTGGCGATCTTAAAATGCTGGCGGGCGGCATTTTAAAAAACCCCGGGACAGCGGAGGGCTTCTCCGCTGTCCGGGGCGATCTTAAAATGCTGGCGGGCGGCATTTTAAAAAACCCCGGGACAGCGGAGGACTTCTCCGCTGTCCGGGGCGATTTAAAAGCTTCTGGGAAGGCAGGCAGGGGGGACAAAGACTTTTGCCCCCGCCAGCCTTCAGAAGAGGTCCTGGACCTCTTCTGAAGGCTGGCGGGGGGCGAAAGTCTTTGTCCCCCCTGCCTGCCTTTAAAAGCCCTCCCGGAAGAGCAGAGAAATGCGCTGCGTTTCTCCGCTCTCCCGGGAAGGCAGGCAGGGGGGACAAAGACATTTGCCCCCCGCCCTCCTTCAGAAGAGGTCCAGGACCTCTTCTGAAGGCTGGCGGGGGCGAAAGTCTTTGCTCCCCCCCGCCTGCCTTCAAAAGCTGTCCGGCCAAGGCTTCGCGGACCTGTCCGCAAGCAGCGGCAGCACTGCCGCTGCTTGCGGTGAGTTGCCGGCATGCCGAAGCCTGCACGCGCTGAGATCAGCGCGCCCAGGCTTCGCGGACCTCTCCTGCCTTCAAAAGCCGTCCGGGATAGCGGGAAGCGCTTCCCTGCTATCCCGGACTGCTTTTAAAATGCTGGTGGTGGGGAGCAAAGCCTTTCGGCCCCCGCCAGCCTTCCTGGACCTCTTCTGAAGGCCGGAGGGGGGGGAAGGCTTTGCTCCCCACCGCTAGCATTTAAAAGAGGTCCCCGGAGATTTCCCTATGGGCTTTCGTCTTGCGAAGCAAGCCCATAGGGAAATTCGTTTTGCGAAGCGCCTCCAAAACGGAAAACCCTTTCGTCTAGCGGGTTTTCCGTCTTGCGAGGCGTTCGTCTTGCGGGGTACCACTGTAGTTTTGAAATCACCGTATTATTCGCCCTATAAGATGCACCAGACCACAAGACGCACCTAGATTTTGGAGGAGGAAAACAAGAAAAAAAATATTCTGAATCTCAAAAGCCAGAACAGCAAGAGGGATCGCTGCGCAGTGAAGGCAGCAATCCCTCTTGCTGTTCTGGCTTCTGGGATAGCTGCACAGCCTGTATTCGCTCCATAAGACGCACACACATTTCCCCTTACTTTTTAGGAGGGAAAAAGTGAGTCTTATAGAGCAAAAAATAAGGTATTTATTGTAATTGTTAAGAGTGGGTTTCTGTTTAATTTTTATATGCTGATATTATTATTCGATACTATTCTAATGATTGTCAAATGTTACTTTAGTTGATGTAGATTGCTTTTTTTAAAGTTGTTTAATTATCACACTTTTGTATTGCATTAGATTGTTATAAGGTGTAAATTCTTTGTTTCTTCAGCCTTGAGTATTGTAAGATAGAAAGGCGGTATACAAATTAAAAGTGATGATGATGATGATGAACAAGTTGCTGGACAAAATGGGCCATTGGCCTGACTCATGAGGCCTTTTTATGTTCTCAACTGCAGTTTTACTCTGTATCACTAGGAATCACTGAGTGAGCTCAAGTCAATTTTCAGCAGGAAATCGTTTGGCTGGGCTCCTGTTTGCATTATATATTTCATATGTACGGAGATGTTAAATAGGTAAAAAATACATCTCTTTGGGGTATAAATGTGATCTTAATGGAAGCATCACAAGTTATATCCAACTTGTGTTCACAGCCATCTCAGCTGAGGTGTACCTTATGTGTTCTCAATTGATGGGGACGCTCGCAGGAAAATACAGCTTTGGATCAGAATCATTATATTCTCTGTGGTTTCCCTTGAGCAAGCTGTTCTCAATGCACACTAGAAACGCACTGCAGTTATTTACTGGAAAGATATTGCTCCTAGCAAAATGCCTCCAACACATGATTTCAACTGAGGAACATTAAATACAATAGTCTTATTTTCATTCAGCTTTCATTCAGCCAAAACAGACTCTAGTATTCTAGTATTTAGAAGGCCATTTGTTTGTGTGTATATATGCACATACATAGAATATAGTTATATATGTATATAATCTCTCTCTCTCTGTGTGTGTGTGTATAGAGAGAGTATACTATCTTTAGAAGGCAATGTACTGCACAGTAGGGAAAAATGCATTAAAATTGCAAGGGGAAATAAAATAGCCAATACACCAGGGCAGACAAATACAACCAGCCAATAGTAATGACCATTAAAAGCTTGAGAAAATAATTGAGTTTTTAGCAACCAGTGGAGCAACATCCTTTGGAAGCTAATGGAAGGAAATGCCTCTATCTCAGGAGTGCCTTGGGTGCAGCAGTCTGTGAAAAAACAGTGATGGAGGCATCTCCCATTGCTGTTGCTTGTGGCACTGCCAGTGCAGCTTTGAGGACAATGGGGAGGGGAAACAATGCAAATACGCAAAGTATTCCATAGGTATAGCTATAGATCTAGATTTAGCAACACATTTGCTAAAATCTGAATGATGCAGAGAAGATTAGCATGTCCCCTCTGCAAGGACAACGTGCGGAAATAACATCAGTGAAGGTCCTTGCCTTAGTTTAGAGGGAAGGTGTGTGTACACACACACACACACACACACACACACACACACCAGGGATAGTTGGGTGAGTCTATTTCTGGTCAATATAATTTGACCTACCAGAGAAGAATGGTCCCTACCAGAGAGGAATGACAAACTAAGCTGTTAGACTATGGTGGAATGGTAAAACTGACCAGGAAACTCAGAGACCAAGAAGTCAAGAAATTCAAGAAAGAATGGGAAAAGTTTATAATTTATTCAGGAGACCACTGTAAGTAGATGAAAACATTAGCAGGATTGCAATAACACTTGTAAAGTAACAAATATTATGGACAATATGGATAGATACAAAATATAGACTCTGAAATAATATGCAGTTGGAAAGGTTGACAATAGGACCCATGGAGGGGATGGGCGGAAGTCGTGAGATTCAGAGAAATCTCATTTTATGGATATGTATTTGGTATTGCATGTAATTTTCATTTGTAAAAACAAATAAAACACACACACATTTCCACATTAACCTGTGAATTTATTGTGGTTTCTTTTGTTTTTGTTTTTAAAAAGAAAAATCTGCCCATATTTAAGTACGTAATTACAATTACATTTTCTCACTAATTGCACACAGTATTTCTGAATATACTTTATCCTGAAATGTGCATTTTAACAGGTTTTTTAAAAAAAACACGTTAAGACAAAAACACTGCTGGAGAAGGGTGAACTAAGTTCTGACCTGCCCCTTGCTCCTTGGGGTTGCATCTCAGGTCAGTTTTTATTAGAATTTGCAAAGAGCGTGTTCCTCAAACATGGTTTGTGTGTGTGCATGTGTGTAAAATGAAAGAAGTTTCCCATTGCGCAGCATTAACACACACACACACACACACACAACCTTTAGACCATGTTTTGCTGCCTCAGAAAGCTCTGTGGTACTTGACCCAGGTGAGGACTGTCCCATACACATTTCCCTAAAGAACAATTAAAAAAAGACCAAAGCAACGAAGAAGAAAGAGCAAGCTTAGCTTTCTTCACATCTTTGTTTTTATTATCTTTGCTTTTTGCCTGGCCTGAGGATTTCCTGATCGTGATTACCTCTGCACCACCACCCCTCTCCCCACAAGTCTGAAAAACTATTTTTAGCCTGTCTGAAATTTAGTTTGCATTGTATTTTGAAGCAGCAGCTCTTTTGAAGGAGCAGTTCTTTTATTATGTGCTTGTTTCCAGGAGATTTTTTTTTTAAAAGAAAGAAGTCAGAACTCTTGCAGCTTCTTCATTATTTGCAGCCGTGTCGTTCCATATTCTTTGTAGTCATTCTTCTGGGTTTTCTCCTTCCCCATCCCTTCTACACAGAGTATCTGTAGCAGGTGGCTCCCTTGTTCTGTGGGATTTTAGTTCAAAGGTCTGTCTTCTAGGAAATATTCCTTTTCTCCTGTCCAACCTAAGAAGGAGCCTCTCAGAACATTTAGAGCTCAGTTGGAAGAGGCATGTTCTCAGTCTCCTGTTGTGACTTTCATGCTGCAAAATTAGGAGCATAAAGGGAAGCAGGTACAGGGATTATACTTAATGTTGCATCAGGAACATCATACTGTGCAAAAAGGAGAGGGATTGGTTATAAATTAGCATATGTGAGGAAATAGTATTGTTCTAACTGACAAAGAAAATATAAAAGTTTAAGTTACATTATTATTTAATTGAATATCTTCTTCCAATAGATCAAGGGTTGCACATGTACTTCGTCAATGCGTACTTAGGTTGCAATGTGTGCTTAGATGCAGCATGTGTGGTACACATCACATTTAATCTAGTTTGATAACATGCCCATGGGTCCAACTAGATTGGCAAAATGGCCTAGGGAAAGCCGTCTTACATCATCATCATCATCATCATCATCATCATCATCATATATTATTTATACCCCGCCCACTTGGGTTTCCAACAAAAGATGAAAAATACATTAAAACACTACTCATTAAAAACTTCCCTAAACAGAGCTGCCTTCAGATGTCTTCTAAACATCAGATAGTTGTTTATTTCTTTGACATCTGATGGGAGGGGGTTCCACAGGGTGGGTGCCACTACCAAGAAGGCCCTCTGCCTGGTTCCCTGCAACTTCGCTTCTCACAGGGAGGGAACCACCAGAAGGCCCTCGCCGCTGGACCTCAGTGTCTGGGCTGAATTATGAGGGTGGGCTGAGGTTTTACCCTCCCCTTCGCAAGGGCTCACGGGACAGCTTTTTCTCATGAACCCATTGCATGGACAAGATACTGGGCAAAACTGTGCCCAGTATTTTGCTGCAGTCTACGGGCCGCAGTGCCCTGGGGCAAAGGCATCCTGTGCTTGTTGGGCTACGAAACGAGGCTTCTTCTCTCTGTGCTCCTCCCAGCGGTCATTCCTCCTCTGGTCACTCAGTAGAGGGGCCATTGATTGAAATATTGAAGGAAGTAAAGGTGAACCATTTTCCAAAGGTTACCACTCATTGTTGGAATTAAAGAATGACTTCATAGCTTTCCTTGACATTTCTTCTCACAGGAACGCAGCAGAACTACTGCTGCTCAAAACTTTTCTCCCCCCTCCCTTTGGCAATTGGAGCTGGTGGGGGCAGATCAAAGTGACCAGCAAGGATATTGGTGGTAGGGATGGGGAAAGTATATAGAAACTGAGAGAGCTTTCAGTTGGGTAGTTTTCACATGGTCATTGTAATGTAGGGAGTGCTATTAGTATGTAAGGTTTTCAAAGAGGAAGCCCATGTTGCCTGGGAGAAGGCATTTTTTAAAACCATGGATGAAAATGAGTACAGTGGTACCTCGGGTTAAGTACTTAATTCGTTCCGGAGGTCCGTACTTAACCTGAAACTGTTCTTAAACTGAAGGCTACTTTAGCTAATGGGGCCTCCTGCTGCTGCTGCCGCGCTGCCGGAGCACGATTTCTGTTCTCATCCTGAAGCAAAGTTCTTAACCTGAAGCACTTTTTCTGGGTTAGCGGAGTCTGTAACCTGAAATGTATGTAACCTGAAGCGTATGTAACCCGAGGTACCACCGTACTTGACCAACTTGAACATTTCATATAGCAATTACAACACACACACACACACACTCCACTGAAAACAACATAGCCCTCTCCAGAACCAAAATAGCCTAAAAACCAATCATAAAAATGCCCAACTCACTATTTCATCAATTAAAATGACTGTCAGTGAACAATCATCTAAAATTTCTATTTTATGCTCCCACCCCCCGAAAATACTTTTCTATTTGTAGGTGTGCAATATGGTTCTAGCGCTGCATTTTTAATGCTTCATGAAATCAGTTTTCAAATGTATATATAGCTCTATTTCTATCTCTATCCGCACGCATACATACTGTACATACTGTGACTGTCCTGGGCCAAGGCAGTCATTGGCCTCTTCAAGTTTCATAGAAATCAGTGGAACTTGCTCATGCATAGCTAAGCACAAGAATGTAGCCCAGGTTGAATTTCTAATGAAGAACAAGGAGCCCCATCCTCCCCAAACAGCTGTGTTGTTATGTTGAAGGGGCAATGTGTACTCATGTGTTGCCAAACAGTGGTGCCATCTGAACTGATGTGGCCTTTTGGATCCCAAGATTTGTTGGCATTGCAAAGCTCTATGGCAGTGTTTCCCAACCGGGTGTTCCGCGGCACACGAGTGTGCCGTGAGACGTTGCCTCGTGTGCCGCGAGATGCCTGGAGGGAGGCGGGCGAGTCGGGCGGCGAGAGGCGGGGCGGCGGCGGCGAGGAGAGGCCGCGCCTCCTGCTGCTGCCTGGCGCTCCTCCTCGCAGCCGGCAGCGCTGCCTGGGCGCCTCCGCGCGACTCTGCCTCGCTGGTTTGGTCTCCCAGCAGAGACGGGTCATACGCGCCCCTCCCTCCCTCCCTCAGCCTGCGCGGAGGGAGAGCCAGAGAGAGGCATCGCTCCTGCGCGGCGGGAGAGGGAGCTGGGCGCGTCCGCGGTTTTTATAGGGCGCCCGGCGCGCACCAGCTCGATAACGGGCACCGGCGCGGCGGGGGGCGCCGGGCCGGGGGAGGGGGGCGTCCGGCCTGTCTCCTTGGCAACCCCATTGAGCAGCGCCGGCTCCCCCGGGAGGGCCATCCCCCCGCGCCGCTGATCGCCAACACCGCCGACGCTGTGGCTGCCCGAGCCCGAGCCTGAGCCCGAGCCCGACCCGGAGCCCGAGCCCGAGCCTGAGCCCGAGCCCAAGCCCGTCAGTCAGTCAGGAAGGAAGGAAGGAGAAATGGGGAGGGAGACGAGGGAGGAAAATTGCGCGCAGGGTGAAGAAAGGAGAAGGGCGAACGAGACGAGCTTCCAACCCAAAAAAGGGCTGGAAGACTGGGAGGATGCAGGATCGGGAAAGAAAGCGACGCCTTCCCCGCCCGCGGACGTCGCCCGCTTGTCATTGGCAGCGCAGCGGGCGCCCAGAGGGGCTGGGCACCGGCGCAGGGCCGCTCCGCAGCCGCGGAGGACAGCTGCGCGGCTAGCAAGGTGCGCCGCGTAGAGCGCGCCCTTGTGTGGCCCGGTGGCCAGGCAAGCTCGGGCGGGGACCCCCATGCGAATCTAAGACGGGAGAAGAGGGCAGAGCAAAAGGGGTCCCTTCCCCAACCTCCGGCTCTGAGACTTCCCTGAGCCCCAGAAAAGCGAAAGGATTTCCCCTTTTTTTATATATAAATATTTTATTAAGTTTTCAAATACAAAGTTAGAAACATACACTGAAGAAAAAAGTAAAAGAACAAGAAAAAGAAAAAAGAAAAAGAAGAAAAGAAAACCAACCATTCAACACATTTTTTATATAACTAACTGGACTTCCTCGCATCTCCCTTACCCTGCATTCTTTATAATAAAGATATCAGCAAATTATTACCTTGTTTCGTACCTTATTTTGTACTTTTCAAATACTATACCTCTAAATTTAACATACTTTTCATCAGTTACTTATATCTTAAATTAAACATAGTATTACCTTAGATTTTGACCTTTTCTTACTTAAAATATAATTTCCTGTTTCCCAAATCTAATTGCTGAAGCTATAGTTTCCGAATCGTGTAAATTTTTAACATTCATACAACTTATATTGCTTTTGGAAATAGTCCTTAAATTTTTTTCAGTCCTCTTCCGTTGTTTCTTCTCCCAAATCTCGGATTCTGCCAGTCATTTCAGCCAGTTCCATGTAGTCCATCAATTGCGTCTGCCACTCTTCCAGTGTGGGCAAATCTTGTGTCTTCCAATATTTTGCGATAAGTATTCTTGCTGCTGTAGTTGCATACATAAAGAAAGTTCTATCCTTCTTTAACACTTTCTGGCCAACAATGCCCAAGAGGAAGGCCTCTGGTTTCTTGGGAAAGGTATACTTAAATACCTTTTTTAACTCATTATAGATCATTTCCCAGAAGGCCTTCACTTTTGGACAAGTCCACCAGAGGTGAAAGAATGTCCCTTCAGCCTCCTTACATTTCCAACATTTATTATCAGACAGGTGATATATTTTTGCAAGCTTGACTGGGGCCCATGTACCACCTATAAATCATTTTCATAATATTTTCCTTCAAGGCATTACATGCCGTGAATTTCATTCCGGTGGTCCATAACCTTTCCCAGTCCTCAAACATGATGTTATACCCAATATCCTGAGCCCATTTTATCATGGCTGATTTGACTGTCTCATCCTGAGTGATTTTCTCTTCAACCTGCCCTCCATCCTCTTGCGGAAAACTCTTTGCCTGCCCTGCCCGTATCTCGTTTTTGCTTTTTAATTCCACACACGCACCCTTCAGACTTCGTGGCAATCAGGCGCGCGGGTGCGTTTCCTAAGAGAGTGAGGACCCCCGCCTCCTCCCCACCTGCTCCCTCGCCAGCCAGCCAGCCGCGCACCCTAGCCGGAGAGCCCCGGCCGTCCCCGTCGCGCAATCGGCTGGATCTCCCTTCAGCAGGCCGTGCTCACAACTCGGCCCAGGGACCCCCAGCAGCGGATCTCCGGCCCAGCTGAAGAATCCGGCAACAAGCCCCCTCCTCCCCAATCGCTCCGCCGAAATATGCTCCAAAACCCCCCAGATAGGCCGCCGGCCGCCAAGTCTCGTGGCGCCCTGAGCGAGGGTCTCTCCCCAACACCGCCACCTTGAACTGCGTTCTCCCGGCTACCCGAGCGAACCAGCGGCAGGACCCCGGTATGGGCCCCCCCAATATTTTTTATAAGTCGGCGCCCCTGATAACTATAACTCGTGGTTCTGATGTCCCAACGCTCCCACGGGGCACATTTCATTCAGGCGGAGGAGGGGGTCGTTGGCTAACGGCCAACAGGCAGAAAGGACTGTCCAACAATGCGATTATCCACACACACACATCTGATCCATGGATTAACATCAAAATCCTTGCATTAAAGCTCACTCCTAAGGAACCAGTGGGTCATTAGGCCTTCAGATGCACTTTGAACAAAGAGATGTTCAAAGGGAAAGCTGCTTTTAATAACACTGCTTTTGCAGGTACTATTGGTCTGGGTCTCATCCAGCATCTTTTCAGTACACCCAGTTAGGATTCAGCAGTCCAATTGTACACTCTTGGGTATTCAGCATTAGCTTAAGGCGTGCAATAATCACATGCCCACTTTTGCAGCATCTTCATAGCATCCCAAGTCACTCTTGGAATGCTCTCTTTATCATACCCTGCAAGTGTTTACTTGTGTAACACATCCTACCATATCTTGCAGAGAAGCACTTCAGAGAGGGCCAAAACCCCCCACACTTGGTGCCATTTTCATCTACACATGCAGCAGAGTAAGTTGACCCAGAATAGTACCAATTCAGATGGCAGATGGGAGAATGACAGTGCTGAATGCTTTCCCATGTAGAACAGTCCCTGCAAATAAAAACCTAGCATATTTGGAAGAGGGATGCTAGCCTAACCATTACCTTCTATGCTGTTACTATTTTTTTTATTATTTTTTTTACATAAGTAAAAAGTGACCTTTCCCCATCTGGCATGGTGGTGTGCCTCGAGATTTTTTTTCATGGAACAAGTGTGCCTTTGCCCAAAAAAGGTTGGGAAACACTGCTCTATGGGATGGTGCAGCAATTTCCTAAATTTTCCATCGTCAAAGAACCCTTCCCCACATTGACCTCTCCATTTCTCAAGGCCGTTCGACTTAGTGTCCCATGTGTTTCAAGGAAATATTATTTATTTAACCCCTTCCATCCTTCCTAAGATTTGTTATGTCATCCTTCATCAAAACTATCAGGGTGACATACAACAAGCTAGTAAGAGGGTCAAAATCACCCTTAAAATGACCGAAGTTTCTCCCTTGCCGGATAAGTATGAAATGAAGAGAACAGCAACCTTAAATTGAAGCAGAATACAGCATTTAGAATTCACTGCAAAAAAAAAATTCAGGACATGTTGATGGACACCCATTCGAATAACAAATTCACACTCCATGCCCTAGGAAAAACTTTGCTGCAAAGAAAATGCACTTGGTGCCAGGGGAGGCAGACATTGAAAATCAGTCCAGCTTTTTTTTAAGGAAAGCCAATGTGCCCCTCAGAACCCTAGGGATACAATACAAAACACCCAACAATGGATATTGTAGAACTGGGGAGAGGTTCAGAAAAGGACAACCAGAATTATTATAGGGTTGGAGCAACTCCCCTATAGGGAAAGGCTACAACATACTTTAGAGAGAAACAATTAGTCAAATGAGAAGTGATAAAGGTGTAAAGGATTATGTATAATGTTGAGAACGTAAACTGTTCTTGTCCTCTCTCATTTAGGACCATCAAATAATTGAATGTTAGAATATTAGGACAGACAAGGGAAAGTGCAACTATGGAATTTGCTTCCATAAAATGTAATGATAGCAACCAATCTGCATGACTTCCAAAGAAATACATGATGGCTATGTTCTAGCTCCACCGCTGGAGGCAATAAACCTCTGTATAAAAATTTATGGGGTTTACAACCAGAGAATTGCGGCACTCATGTCATGTTTGTGGGCTACCCATTGGCTTCTGGTTGGCCACTGTGAGAACAGGATATTGGATGTCTCAGGATGCTGTCAGCGGCTCATGGCTGGTTGCACAGGAAAGTATAAGGCAAGGAAATGTTTCTTACCATACTTTTTTATTTCACTCTTTACAGAGAGAGGCTATAAAACCCAGCCTCTTAGATAATGGTGTTGTCCTGAGTGAATCTCCACCCCCGTCTCTCCCACTTCCTCCTTCGTCATTCTCATTGTCTCTTCTACAGGTGCTGCTAGGTGCCCTCTGTCTTTGAGCTCTTTGCTCTCCTACTTTTAAGGCTCACCGGGTTCTGGGAGATGGAGGATCTGGAATGCTTTCTAATGACAACGTGTCAGCCAGCTGCTCTGGCTCTCCCATGATCTCCCAACTTTCCCCCTCATCTGCCTCTGAGATGTGACCTCCATCAAACCACTGTTGTCAATCTATACTGTCTTCCTCAACCTCTTCCCTGGAAGGGTCAGGATGGGGAGGTGGTCTCCACCATTCCTCCTCTGCCCAGTCCCTGACATCATGTCCCAGAAACTCCAGCGGGTGCAGCGAGAGGCTCCTCACGGGGTCTCTCCCATGGGAGCATATTCACCCAGTGCTTTTCCAGCTGCACTGGCTCCCAGTGGAGTACAGGGTCAGATTTAAGGTGCTGGTTTTGACCTTTAAAGCCCTTCACGGCCTAGAACCCTCATACCTACAGGACCACCTCGCCTGGTATGCCCCACGGAGAGCCTCAAGGTCCATAAATAGCAACACCCTAGTGGTCCCGGGCCCTAAGGAAGTTAGATTGGCTTCAACCAGAGCCAGGGCTTTTTCAACACTGGCTCCAGCCTGGTGGAACGCTCTGCCTCATGAGACCAGGGCCCTGCAGGATCTGATTTCTTTCTGCAGGGCCTGTAAGGCAGAGCTGCTCTGCCTGGCCTTTGGCTTGGAGTCAATTTGATTCCCTCCCCCTCTTTTCTTCTTTTCAGCCTCCTGTGATGAGGCTGCATTTTAATGTTTAAATGTTTTAATGTTGTATTCATTCAACTTGTTTTTATTATTGCTTGTTAGCCGCCCTGAGCCCGGCCTTGGCTGGGGAGGGTGGGGTATAAATAAATTATTATTATTATTATTATTATTATTATTATTATTATTATGTGACATGATCCAGCATGTCAAGGAACACGAGGGAGGTGCAGAGGAACACACACACACACACACACACACACGGATGGAAGTTTAGGTGCAAGTAGCACACAAAGTGCTAGAATGTAAGACAATTTCTTCCAGGTTGCAACATGTGTTTGGTGCAACTTATTTTAACTTTGACTGCTCAGTGCCAGCATTTGCTCTCTCGAAACTGCTTTCAGATGGGTTGCTTAAATGCTTCCAGAAATCTGTAAAGTGAAAGGGTACCTTTTCAAAGAACATCATTGCAGGTGTTGTAGTTTCCTTACATTTCTTTTTTCACTCCAACTTTCTATCGATCTGGCAGCAGAAGAAACAATTCAGCTCTGTGGCAGAAAGAAGCACAGATAATATTCTCAATATTTCTTCATGTGTTACAATTTGGAGTGCCAATATTTTTCATAAAGCAAAAGATGTTGGACCACAGTTTTCCTTTGCTATAAAATTGAAGTAGGTAAGAATCCATTTTTAGCTGGCCTGCCTTGTCTTTTTTGGAGGGAAGATTGTATCTGATTTGCTTATTTTGGTCCCTGCTCCTGCCAACCTAGCAGTTCAAAAGCACCTCAAAGTGCAAGTAGATAAATAGGTACCGCTTTGGCGGGAGGTAAACGGCATTTCCATGCACTGCTCTGGTTCGCCAAAAGCGGCTTAGTCATGCTGGCCACATGACCCAGAAGCTGTCTGTGGACAAACGCCGGCTCCCTCGGCCAGTAAAGCGAGATGAGCGCCGCAACCCCAGGGTTGTCCATGACTGGACCTAACAGTCAGGGCCCCTTTACCTTTTTATTCCTTAATAAAATTATTATTATTATTATTATTATTATTATTATTATTATTATTATTACCCCACCTGTCTGACTGGGTTGCCCCAGCCACTCTGGGCAGCTTCCAACATATATAAAGACATAATAAAACATTAAACATTAAAAAAAACTTCCCTATACAGAACTGCCTTCAGATGTCTTCTAAGGTTGTGTAACTGCTTATCTCCTTGGCTCTGGGGTCACATAACTCCATAACCTACAACATTTCTCTGATGAAAATAGGGACGTCCTGAGAAAAGAGGGACATTCCAGTAGCAAATCTGAAACCAGGATGGCTCCTGTAAAACCGGGACTGTCCTTGGAAAATAGGGGCACTTGGAGGGTCTGTGTTTGTGAGCATCCTGCCTTTCAAGCTTCACCTTTCATGCTGCACTTCAGCTGGGCTTTCTAGTAAGTATGGGAAAGTGAGGAGGCTGCCTATTCTGTGCCTGACAGCCCTTCATCTTGTCTGTTTTTAAAGTGAAGCCTTTTTTACTTTAAAGAAATCAGTGGTAAATGGTGTTTTGTAAAAGAAAAGGGAAGGGAGGAAGGGAAGGAAGGAAGGAAGGAAGGAAGAAAAGAAAGGAAAGGAAAGGAAAGGAAAGGAAAGAAAAGAAAAAAAGAACTACAAAGGAAATTCTCTTAAAAACAAAAACAGCGAGCACACTGATATTAGGCACTCGGTTGCTAGTCTCCCCGACTTTCTGTGTTTTAATGAAGTCGAATGGTAGAGAGGTCCCTCCGTCTGTGGGGGCTTTTACAGATCAGAAGGCTGCAGAGCGGTGGATAAACATTAAACAGATAGAAGAAAACGTCCCACATCGAGAAATGATCAAGAAATAAAATGCCTGCAGAAAGACTCAGGGGGAAAAATGGAAGCCTCTTTTGCAGGGAAACTAAACTTTTGAGAAATTGGATGAGAGATTTTGGCAAGTGTCAGAAACAGCAGGATGCGGAACAGCTGAGGCCCGCCTGCCCCACCTGTTTCTGGGTGGTAGCAGCAGCAGGGCTGGTGCCAGACCACCTGAGCACCAGAGCACTTTCACTGCAAGCATAATTGCAGGCCCCCCTTAGCTTGCTTCTCATCTGCCTGCTCATTTGCTGGCCCACCTGGGAGGTCTGCAGGTTGGAGAGGAGGAAGGAAATGAATGGATCTCTCAGGCTGATGACGGAGGACTATGTAGATCATCTAGGTATACCATGTGTGGGTATCTGTGTGGGTGAGAGAAAGAGATTTCTTGTCTGTATCTGAGCATGAGAATGAGATATTTGGCATATGTACAGTGGTGCCCCGCAAGACGAATGCCTCGCAAGACGGAAAACCCGCTAGACGAAAGGGTTTTCCGTTTCGGAGGCGCTTCGCAAGACAAATTTCCTATGGGCTTGCTTCGCAAGACGAAAAAGTCTTGCGAGTCTCGCCATTTCCCCCCGCTTCCCCCCCTTTTTCAAAGCTGCTAAGCCACTAATAGCCTTTTAGCAGCTTAGCCGCTAATCCTTTAATAGCCGCTAAGCTGCTAAATCGCTAATAGCGCGAATCCTCTTAGCCACTAATGGGGTTGCTTCGCAAGATGAAAAAACCGCTAGACGAAGAGAATCGCAGAACGGATTATTTTCGTCTTGTGAGGCACCACTGTATAATTAATAATAATAATAATAATAATAATAATAATAATAATAATACCCCGCCCATCTGCCTGGGTTTCCCCAACCACTCTGGGCAGCTTCCAACAAAAGATAAAAAACACATTAAAACATCAGTCATTAAAAACTTCCCTAAACAGGGCTGCCTTCAGATGTCTTCTAAACATCAGATAGTTGTTTATTTCTTTGACATCTGATGGGGGGGCGTTCCACAGGGTGGGTGCCACTACTGAGAAGGCCCTCTGCCTGGTTCCCTGTAATCTTACTTCTTGCAGTGAGGGAACCGCCAAAAGGCCCTCGGCGCTGGACCTCAGTGTCCGGCTTGGACGATGGGGGTGGAGATGCTCCTTCAATATGGAGCAGCAGAATATGGAGGAGCAGAATATGCAGTCTCTGACCTTAAAAGTCAGATGAGTTATCTGTTCTGCAGGTAGCTTATCATCTGCTGCCTGAGTGGCCCACATACAGTCTGGATCAGATTGCAATCTGTAGGATCTGACGTTGTATGCTGATAGTCTTCCATGACAACATCCTCAAGGAAGAGCCATCGCTCAGTGCTAGGGCATCTGTTTGCATGCAGAAACAGAGGTGTAGTATGGGGCAGCCAGGGAGGCCATGGCCCAGGGCACAAAATTCTGTGAGGGTAAGACCAGGGACCCCATGCAGGCACTGGCTTCCACAGGGATCTCCACCCCTCCCTGGCAGAGGCGGCAGAGCAGTTCAGGGCCACGATGAGCAGCATGGATAGAAGGAGGTGTTGGGATTTCAGCCCCCACCAGCTGCCACGCTGGCAGGAAACAGCAAGAGCTGTTTACATCAGGTGATGTTTCTCTCTGTGGGAAAGGAAGTCACAGTCAGTTCCCAAACGGTCCTGTCTGTAGCCAAGGCGGAGCTACAGTTCTCTCTTCCGCTCCTGGACAGGAGCAGAGTTGAGTCGTAGTACTCACAAGCTGGGCTGTTCGGGCTGACCAGCCATGCGTGTTGTTCTGTATGCAGTTTAATAAAGTAGATGAAGTCTACCTTTTCCTTCTGATGGTTGCTCAGGGGAAATTGGTGTGCTTTTCTCAATAAGAGACAGGTTACCTATTTATCGGTCTCTCTGGACTGAAAGAGGATTCCTGGATGGCAGCCAGAGGATGACCACTGGACTTCGCCCTGGAGTGCCTCAGGAGGTTGGCAACGCTCCCGGGTGGGCGAAATGCCAACAGGAGGTAGCCAAGGGCAGACCCAATGTGGCCCGGCCCAGCACACCTCTCTGCAGAAGTTGGGGGGATTCGACCGCCAAGAGCCACATCAGTCAGCTGGGCTCAGCCCTGTGCAGACGGGCAGGTGATGCAGCGTGGCCCCACTCAGTTTTGAGGGGTGCTACGGTGCCATCGCCCAACTTGGGCACTGGCAACCAACACGACATCGCTGTGCAGGAGGTTCCAGGTTCAATCTCTGCCATTGCTAGGTACCCTTCCCTGTAATCCTGGACAGCTGCTGTTAGTCAGTGTAGACAGTACAGAGGTAGATGATCCAAATGATCTGACTCAATATAAGGGAGCTTCCTTTGTTCCTAATCAGTAAGCAAATAGTAAACAAATGGCTTTAGCTCGGGCCTGCCCCTCCTTGCTTCTCAAACCGCCTTCTGGTTCTGCCCAAGTACAAGAATGTTGTATTAGGCAAACCTTGACACAGATGTGTACATATAAATAATCTCACATCGCCATCAGTATCTAAATTAATTTCCCCTTTGTTGGCAAGTTGATAGAGATTGTTGTCATACCAAGCAGTTTTGTATGTCTGATGTGGTGTGCAGACACTTGGCTCTTCTTCGACTAAAGCTTTAACCCATCTTGAGGATCTCTCTTAAATATAATAAACAAATTGCAGGCTCTAAGCATTTCTCAATGCAGTCGCCACAAATCAAAGCCTATTATTAGCTGTGGTTGGTATGTTTTAAAACCAAGAGTTGTTCCTTGTATTGTTCTCCGTGTCTAATCATGCAGGAAGATGCTTTCACAAGCAGTTCTATTGCCATGAGACAACAGCCATTTTTCATAGCTCACCTCCCCTAAAATATATCTTCCCCAAATGAACCCTTTTAAAATAGTGTCTAGAGGGGGTTAGTAAAACAAGAACCACCAATGCCAAATTGGCTTTTTTGAAGCACCAGGAAGTGGAGTTTGGATTTGATATCCCGCTTTATCACTACCCGAAGGAGTCTCAAAGCGGCTAACATTCTCCTTTCCCTTCCTCCCCCACAACAAACACTCTGTGAGGTGAGTGGGGCTGAGAGACTTCAGAGAAGTGTGACTAGCCCAAGGTCACCCAGCAGCTGCATATGGAAGAGCGGGGACGTGAACCCGGTTCCCCAGATTACGAGTCTATTGCTCTTAACCACTACACCACACTGGGGAATTACTGGTACATACACCTGAGATGGGGATAGATGGGAGAGTGTGCTTCTTAGCCACATAACTTCAATTTCCACATGAATCTCATGATGATGAAGGTGATTATTTTAAAAGCTCTTTACATACAAAGCTGTTTAAAAATGTATTTTCTATTAAACCACTAAACATATTTTTAAAATCTCAAAATGTGCATTTTTAACCACAGTTCTTTTGAGTGCAGAATTGTGCCAGAGCATTCAGAGAAGTGCAAACTCCAAAGGATATGCTATTGTGTAAATACTATTCTGATTTATATAGATCCTTTTTGGTGGCCACAAGCAGCATCGTGGCAGCATATTGGTCCAGGAGTTGAGTCTTCCAGGATAGTTCATATCAGAATTTGCAAACAGCCCTTTCTTCCAGCATCCATAGCAGAGAGAACTGGCTATACTGACATTGCTGAATGTTGTAAAGGAGAGGTCAATAGCCCAGAGCCTCTCAGAGTATTCTGTTGAGAAGGTTAGAGGTCAGAGTCTTTGACAATGTGCTATTAGTTGCCACCAGTGATGGAAGTAATTGCTTCCTGGGGTCCCCATACACACAGCCAATATTCTAAGTTCAATGAGGTATATGTGGAAAAAATTCTAGAACTCCATTACATTTTGTTAGTGCACTGCTCCTGAGGGAACACATCATCCCATGTAGATCTGCCTTATCAATGAGATTAGCAAGGGAAGCCTTCCTGGTTATATCATAGCCCACATATACCCTCCTTGTGGGGACAAGATGAAAGACATTATTTGTTGTGGTCATCACCCTATGGGATCACCTCCCCTCAGAAGTTAGACAAGCACTGGCAATACAATGCTTCTGGTGATTATTATTATTAAAATCATTATTCATTTCAATGCTCTCCCATCATATGTCAAGGAAATAAACAACTATCTGACTTTTTAGAAGACATCTGAAGGCAGCCCTGTTTAGGGAACTTTTTAATGTTTGAGTTTTTATCACTTTTAATTATTATTAATATTCCATTGGGAGCTGCCCAGAGTGGGTGGGGGAACCCAGTCAGATGGGCAGGGTAATAATAATAATAATAATAATAATAATAATAATAATAATAATAATATCTGCATTTTGCTCAATTTCTTCTGCTGATCCTATCTCTATTCTGCCTGCAGTTTCATTTGTTTTCAGTGCTTTACTAAATAGTCCAAAAAGGTCTCCATTCTTCTACAATCAGTTCATTGTATAAATTACGTTTCATGTAGTACGCTGTGGTTAATTTCTTTGGTGTTTTAATTCCTCTCCCTTAATTCATAGATCATCATATTTCAAATCCATAAGTGGTGTACCAACAATTAGACATAAATGTTGCTCCCTTTCCCCAATGGCTCTTCTGGATTTGTAAATCAGGGGTGCCAACTGATCTGGTGGGGAGGAGGAAGATGCAAGAACCTTGGCTTGTTCTAACTTGCTCTGACTCTAAAAGCAGAGTGAGGCAAACACTGTGTGGGTGCTTTTCACAACATGGTTGATAAAAGCTCACTTGCTAATTTCACCATATCACTAAGTGGTAAAAGGTGGGAAGAAAGTTTACAGAATCTAAGTTGCTCACTGAGAAGTAAACTTGTCATGTTTTACTCTCTTAAAAGGGTGTCATAAGCAGCACAGAGAGAGAGACACATACACAAAATACCTGTTTTAAAGTTGTTCTGAAACTGGTGCCGTTGGAAGGTGGCTGTTACTTTCATCGGTAATAAATGGTGTCGCAGGAAATGCCCAGTGATATATGAGATTGATTGTGTGAAAACTGTATATAGGGTCACTAGATTGCTTCTCTGTTTTTCTGGTGTTGCTCCTGTGATTTTAACAGCAGCTTGACATGCAGAAATCAGAAAGCTTTTTTTTTTTTTTTGAATTTCCAATCTTTGTGCTCAGAAAAAATTGATCTAGTAAACACCTCTGTGTTAAAGGCACAGGGGGAAGGTCCAACAAAAAGTGCTGATGGCAACTATGACGAGGACCCAGTTCAAAACTGTTTCTACTAATTGTTGGTAAAGAGGTAGGCTTAAAGGACCCCTGACAGTTAAGTCCAGTCGCAGACGACTCTGGGGTTGCGGTGCTCATCTCACTTTACAGGATGAGGGAGCTGGTGTTTGTCCGCAGACAGTTTTTCCAG